GCCGGCGAGCCCGTGCGGTCCCTGCGCCCGCCGCCACCGCGTCGCGTTCGACGCCGGCGGGCCCGCGCGGTCCCGGCGGCGCCGGCGAACCCGTGCGGTCCCTGCGCCCGCCGCCACCGCGTCGCGTTCGACGCCGGTGGGCCCGCGCGGTCCCGGCGGCGCCGGCGCCGCGGGCCGCCGGGACCGGCCGGTCACACTGGCGCCGCCGCCGCCGGGCGCCTCAGTCAGCCGCCGTCGTCCGGCACGAGTGCACCGCGCCGCCCGCGCCACCGTGTCCGTGTCCGCGCTCAGCACAGCCGCCATGGTGCTCCGGCGAAAGCAGAACCGACTCCGGATACAGGTGACTGGGCCAGAGACGGCGACCTGCGAGCGAGGGTCGAGGGCCTGGTGGTGAGATGGTCGAGCGAAGGGGGGAGGAGACCCGGGTCGGTGACATGACCCAGTGAATGTCGGAGTGTTGAACGGCTCGTATTTTGGGTCCAAGTGTGGTGTTTATCTCACTCGGATTAAAATCCCTCAGGAGATTTTTCAGGCCAGTAGGCGGTGTACATCTTGTCTGGCTTTAAAGCCAGTTTAAAGCCATGGCCAGTTCGCCCTCGATCAGCCACTGATTGGTCGCTCGACATCCATCACATCTCTGGCGTTTGAGGATCTGCCGGCCCGCTGGTGACCTGGTGACAGTGGTTCGGCGTGCACGGCGGCGGGCGTCGGGTCCGAGTTTGGTCGTGCTTCGACTCGTGCGGTGAACGTGGAGTCCCGGCCGCACACAGATTCCCGACGTTTCGCATTCTGATGCAAGCATTGCGTAACATGGGCTGAGGATCGGTGCGACGAAGTTTAAGCCGGAATGTGGAAAGTCCGACCTTTACCTGCACGCTTTCGATTATGAAATTCCTTTGAAGGCTTGCTGCGGAGAAGCCTTGCGATCCCAGGAACAGTATTCTAGCATGTTCTTCCAGTCCCAAAACCTGCGATATTGATAATGCAGATAGTTAAACACGCGCACGGGTGGCCGGTTGAACACCGCCTGCTCGGATGCGGGTCAATTTGACCCCCTGAGATCTTAACACATAAGATAATTAGAGACCCCAAATTTGCGGAGTGGGTTGGCCTGTATAAGAATTCACTTATGTTAAAGTTTAAGGTTCCTAACCCATGACCTTCTGATCAAATAAGGTCAAACAATGTCAAACTCCAGATTCGTGTCCAAAGCGTTCCCAGAGGTCCTCATGCGATCACCGTGAACCTAGATACCTGTTCTAAACAAAATATCCATGCTGGTCATTTAAGGTCAGTGACCTTGTTTGACCTTAAGAATATCAAGGTGATCAAAAACCTACGAGGTTGCTTCTATTTTGCAGTTGGAATGACTGTCAGGGATAATGCCTGGCGGTATGCTCCTAAAAGAGCATGTTGACGTGAATCATTTAAGGTCGGCGACCTACTCTGACCTTTAAAAAGTCCACGGAATGTGTGTTTTGCGGTCCCTGACATTAATAGATTTCGAAATCAGCACCAGAAGTGACCCACAAAGCAACCTCGCGAGTTAAAAAGCAGGCTAATTTTGACTAGGTCTGACCTTCATACCTGACTGCAGGTTTATATAACTTTTTTCTACATTCAATTAGTGTATTGCCTCAGAAACTATTTCATAGATGCATAACTTTGTCTAACATTCCGTTACCGCATCAGATTCAACAATTCCCTATAAAGGAGTCCCACTGCGAGTCACGGCCTGGTTTTGACCTGCCGGAGGTCAGCGATATTACAAACGGCATCTAGTTTTTGTACCGATGGTCCGCTATTAAACTGCCTCCAGCTATGCCGGCGCCGTCCGGAAATAATCGTGGAAAAACCTTGGCGGGGGGAGCAGTTGACCCCGGACCCGACCGCGTGTGAGAGATCCCAAGTTTTGAGTATGATCGTGGAATACCCGCGCCAGCTGCTGTTTGACACTTCTGACGGTGGCGCATCTCCCGCGCGGAGGTGCCTTCCGCACCTGTCCCGAGTCGCCTCCACTCTCCGATGACTGGCACCTGACCTCGGCGTGTGACGGCACCGTTCCCAGAGCGGTCTGACTCTGCCACTTCCGGGCGGGCCCACGTTCCCCCACGCCGCGCCCGAGTCGGCTCCCCACACGAGCGGACCGCGTGCCGCGCTCGTGAAAGGCTCGCCATCCCGAGAGCGGGCTGTAAAGCCGGCTCGTGCGCCGCACGCGAGAAAGCTGATGGCGCGGGGGGCTGGCGAGCGCCGGCGGCGGCTGCCCAGCGCCGTGTTTGGCCGGGCGGCCGGCTGCCAGCCGGGCCAGGCGGCCAGGACCGGTGAGGTCACCCCGCCAGACCGCGGCCGCCGCACGGCCGCCGCACGGCCGGGCGCTCCCCTTCCGACGCTGCGCAGCGCCCACCTGCGGGCCGCGCGATCGGCTCCTTGTGATGGGCCGGCGCCGATCTGGCGCTGAACGGCCGGCCCGCCTCGGCGCTTCCGGATGTCCATCGGCGCTTCGGCAAACGGGTGCGAATGCTCTGCCAGACGGTTGGGAGGGTCTGTCAGGCGGGTGCGGATAGATTGTTTGGCGAGGGCAGCTGTCACGTCAGTCGATTCCGTCAGCCGAGTCCGTCAGGCATCCCGTTCAGCCGGACTTTCGGCCGTTCTGTCGGGCGGGGTGCCGGCGCTCTGCCGGACAGACGTCGGCGTCCCGTCCGACGATTGTCCCGTCCCGTCCCGTCCCGTCCCGTCGGACGATTGTCCCGTCCCGTCCCGTCGCGGCAGCCAGCCGGGGCGGCCGGCGCAGCCGTGCGGCCGTCCGCCGGGCCGCCGGCGGCGCCGCTCCCGGCGAAGCCCAGCCTGGCGCCGCCCAGCCGCCGTATACGGCCCGGGAAAGCTGGCCGTGTTGCGGCGCACGCCAACGTCGCTGCACAATACACCGCCGGCCGCCGATGCCACGCGCTCCAGCCTCTTTGTCGCTCGTGAATGCCGCACCCGTTCGCGGCTGGTAATGGAGACACGCGACGGGGCTGATCGTTATCCGAGCGCGGGCGCGGGAGTGACGTCACCGGGCCCCCGCGCGCTCCTCTAATTGGTCGCCGGGTTCTGTTGTTTGTCGGTCGCTGATCAGGGCACGTGCTAAGGGTGCACGTGCTAAGCACCACCACGTGACGCACGTAAGCCGCCCCCGTGGCGCGGCTGTTCGCGCGCGTTGGCTTGAAGGACCACGGGCCGGCGCTACGGGCCTACGCGACGGGCCTACGCCATGGGCCTACGCCATGAGCCTACGCCATGGGCCAACGCCCTGGGCCTACGCCATGAGCCTACGCCATGGGCCTACGCGACGGGCCTACGCCACGAGCCTACGCCATGGGCCTACGCGACGGCCCTTCTTGTCTGCCGGAAATGCATGCAGGGGTTTAAAAGGTGGTAAGCCAGTTTCCCATGTGCGAGTAGGTAGGCATGTATTCCTCTAGATCACACAAGTTTTGCGATCGTTAAAAAGTATCAGCTGGCGTTGTTGAACCTGCCCGGCCTTCTGCTTGATGAGCGCCTGTCAAAATCCAACGGAATCGTCAACCTCGGAATCCAACCAATACAGTGAAACGGGAAGCCTTCCACACTGACCCACGTCCCGTTTCGTAGCCTGCCGGCGCCGCCGCAGCCTTGAGGCGGGGGTGGGGGTGGGGTGGGGATGACCCGCCACCCTGCGGGCACGGCCCCGGAAACTGCCGCGGCCTCGGCCGCGCTTCGTGAGCGGCTGCCGTGAGCGCGGCGCGACCGTGGCCCCTGGCGTGGGCGGCGGGAGGCCCCGCATGCCGACGGCACGGCGCAGCGCGTCCGCTGTCGCCGCTGACGCCGCGCGACCTTGGCGCCGCCGACCCAACACGGGCACGACGCGCCGCTGCATGCATTGTGGGCAACGGTGGCGCCGGCCCGCGCGGCCGCTGGCGCCGCCGCCGCCCACGGTCCAGACACCCCGCAGCGGAGCCGGGCTCCGCGGGGCCCGCGAGAAAAGTCCTGCCGAGTCCCGCGGATTACGTAACGGCCGACTTCTCCCCCCCCCCCCCCCCTCCACCAGCAACCGGACGGGTGACGGAGGCTGCGACGTTTGCGGCGCGGGATGACGCCTACGCATAGTGGGCAGCAGGCTCTCCCACGCGACGCATGCCGCGCTCGGTGCATGAATGAGCACGGGCGGAACGAAGGATCTCAGTCGTCGTGCAAGTCAACGTAATGCATGTGGATCTTATGCGTGTGGTGAACGGTATCGGTCGGGACACCATTCCCGTCATTTCCCTCTCCCCCACAACCCTTCCCCCTCGGCGCGGAGACTGAGCGCGCCCCGGGCGATGGCAGGTCACGTGCCACGGATCCGGCTGGGCGTCAGGCGTTCTGTGAGCCGCCGTGTCAGCCGGGCCGACCAGCTGATCGATAGGGGGGGGTGGGGGGAGGGGCACGTCCTGGTCGCCAGCTCTCAGCGGCCATTGGCACCATATACGGACAACTGCTGCCGATGGCGGGGACTTATGAGTTCCGTTGCTGGCGACAGGTTTGGCGGCGGGTGTGGCTTGCTGGCATTCAGTAATCGGTGGGCTCTGAAATTGAGTAAGGCGTCTCGCCGCCTGTCTGCAGGGAGGTGCATTCCGCAAGGGCTGTTGTTGGGGGGTTCTGCTCAGACGCGGAAGCTTTCTCGTCTGCTCCGCACTTGGAAGAAGACCTTGTGCTACAGTTTTGACCTTTTGACCTTTTGTTTTCGTCGAGGTCGGAAGCTTGGATGTTGTTGTGATGAGCGAAGGGACACGAAATAAATTGTGTGCCATCGGAGACGTAATTACGTTCTCGTAATGACTCCCCGTGAGCGTCATAACACGCTTGAGGAAGACGGCTGGGTGCACGCTACATCTTCAGTCGCATACTCTTCTCCGTAGCAGTGTTTCGCCCGGCACGTTTCTAACCCTGCCAGGGTAAGAAACGGCTAACGTCTAGCGTCTTACCCTCGGCCTTCATTGCAGATTCACGGGCACTCGGAGACAGCCAGCCACAGCTTGGTGGTGATCCACCTGAAGCCGGATGACGAGGGTCGCTACGGCTTCAACGTCAAGGGCGGCAGTGGCTCCAACTCTCCGGTCACCGTCTCGAAGGTGGCGCCGCAGTCGCCGGCCCACGAGAGCAGCCCGCGGCTCAGCGAAGGCGATCAGGTACGTGGGGGTGGGGGCTGGTGTGTGTACTTGGGGAAGGGGCCGGGTGCGTAGATGGGGAAGGCCTGTGTACTTGGAACCAGGTATGTGCGAAGACGGTCGGTATGCTCCTTCTCATCGTCATTAGAAGTGGACACGTTGAACCCGCGTTCTGCGCCCAGTCCGACCTGCGCCCGCGTCCTCCGTCGCCCTCTGTCGACACCCTACCAGCGGCGGTGACGCGGGGAGGGGTCCGGGACGGAGACGCGCTCGCAGAGATAACGCGGCGGCGTCGGTCCCGACGACGGTCCAGAGCGGCGTCGAGACCGACGGCCGGCCGCGGACCGCTTCCGGCCTATCGACCGGCGGCCGGCGCCGCTGCCGTGTCGGTCGGAGTGAGGGCCTTCCGGTCCCGCCGCCGCCGCCGCCGTGCTCACCGGGGCTCGGCGCCGGCTGCCCGAGGCGCAGGCCGCTGCCGGCGGGCGGCCGCGCGGCCCGACGCTGCGCAGTAGGCTTCCTGGGAGCGCTCGGGTGCAGAGCCGCTCCGAGAAGCTCCCGCAGAGTGGTGAATGAGCACCGACGAGATTTGCTGGAGGCGACGTTTCCGGGACTCTGGAGCGGGCCGCTGCTCACGGCAGGCTTCATACCTTTGTTCGCGCGAGAGCTTCTCACAGCCGGAAAAGGCTCGGTGAGAAGCTCTTATCGAAAGTTGTGTTATTCCTTACGCTTTCGCGCTGAGCCTTGTCGCTGGGTTAAGGGAGTCGCTTGGACTGCGGGCATCTGTCTAGTTCGCCACACTCCCCCCGCAATCTGGGGTGGCCTCTGGTGACCTCCGGTGACCCGGGTGACCTCGCTGCCGTCACCAGGTCTCGGGACGGTCGCACGCTCCATGGAGGCATGATAATGGGAGCATTGTACTCTGTAAATGGAGTCGTGCCGGAGTGCGACAGCCAAACCACGAGCCCCCATACCGTTGTTTCGGACCAAACGGACACGTCACGCTTGTCTCTCCATCTCTAGAGGTTGATGACCGTCTCTTTTCTGACTGTTCGGGAGGACGACTGCTCTTGAGGCTCGATAGCGTCCAGTCCTCCCAAAAAAAGATGAACCGAAAGAGAATCGGTTCGTGGCTGTACAGCATCGAGCAAACTCGGGGTCCTCCAGTTGCGGACCATACAGAGGGTATGCCGCTGAGGCTGGCCGCGCGCCTGCACCCATGCTTTTACAGCCGCCCCGCCCCTGCCGGAACCTGGGGGGGGGGGGGGGCAGGGGCGTAGCGCAATGCCAGCAACGGGGCTGGGGTCGGCGCAGCTCCCACACCTACTGCCGGTGTCGTGTGAATGTCACCACCGGATGCTACCCAGGTCACCGCCGCAGCCTGGCGGCGTGCGGCCGGGTTGAGCCCCTCCCCCACCCGCCCCCATCCCCACCGCCCCTCCCCCACCGCTCCCTCCCCTCCGCCCCCATCCGGCGCCCCTTCCGGCGGCCGGCCTCGGCCGCGATGACGTCACATCAACACGGCGGTGCCCGCATGCCCGTCGGCGCGATTCACAGCCGTCAAAGTTGGCAGCGACAGGTGGAATGGCCGGCGTGTGGGGCCCGGGCATCACGTGGGTGGCGCGTGCCATGGACGTATCGGCGCTCCGTGGGGCGCCCATTATTGGAGCCCATAATCTATCGTTAGATCACGATCGACCGGCGTTGGGGACATAGTACACTGACGCACGTGATTTTCTCGTGGTCAGCCGTCGCGAGGCAATCTGTGGCGTATTTATATCTGCGGGGAATATTGATATTCGGATCTCGACATGTGGCGCAAGATGCGCAAGTTGGATTAAATACATGAGGGCAAAATGGTGTCAACTGTTAACTTGCCGACAGTAAATGCGACGGAAATTGTGAGGCAGTCGTGTTTGCTTCTGTTCAAGATCCTTGCTATCACTCGAGGTCATTCGATCTGAAAGAGCCGATCAAGAGTAGAGACGCATTGCCTCACCGGAGCTTCCGGTGATGGCTGGCCCGCGGCATATCCCTGATTGTGTCATCCGCCAGTCTGTCCCGCGCATTCGCCAGGTCGGTGCTGCGGAAACTGGCGGCTCATGTGACCCATTGACCTGACCGTCCCGCGCCGTCGACAGCGTCTGACCCGCTGACCCCGCACGGCGCGGTGTGTTTGATCTAAGGTCTGACGGCTGCCGCGCTCGGCGCCGGGCGACACTGGCCGGCTCGCCCAGCCCGGCGGAGGTGGACCGCCCACGGGGGGCTCAAAGCATTTTTACGCGGGCAGTGTCAGCTGGGCGGTAAATGTGCCAGGAACCCACGCTCAGGCGCAGTGCTCCCCCTCTTCTCCCCCACGGGCCAGTGAAGTTCCCCGTGGACGGATGCTGCGCCCTCCCACCCTTCCCCCGGTCTGACGCAGTCTCTCCCACGGCCGGACGCGGTGTCCATCCCGACCGCCATTCATTATCTGGGGTTAACACGAGTGCCCGGGCGCGTGCGGTCAACGCATCCGGCCTGGGAGCGTTCGGTACGGCCCGTGCGCTGCTGGAGGAGCTGTCGGCCGGGAGCTCGTCCTACCGCCAGCGGGCCCGGATGGGTGTCCGCGCAGGGACACCAGACGAGCGAATGCGATGCGGTGCTGGTGGGGCGCGAGCGGTTGATGACGTGGACAGCGGCGTGATCGCCGCGCAGGGACGTCAGACGAGCGGATGTGATGCGGTGCTGATGGGGTGCGAGCGGATGATGACGTGGACAGCGGCGTGGTCACGTGAGCGCACGGCCACACCATCACGAGGACTTGAGCGTGGCTGGGGTACCAGGCGCGACGCGAGCAGAACGCCGTGGAGCGTATCGGGATGCATTCACCGGCGTATTCAGCCTGATTAAGTCCGCCGGTCATGCGGCGGTTGGCTGTTGTCCACCAGTTAGACGCTTGGTTCGAGCGGCGCGTCCGTAATCGCGCAGCACACATTCCTCAGCCGCGGCTCGGTTATTGCGGCGTTTCCAGCGGCTTAAGCGGAGTGCTTGTGAGGGACCTCGAGCCGTCGCCGTCGCTCCCGCGCGGCTCGGGTTTTGGTGCGGGGGCGGTCACCTAAACAGCTCGTACGAGCTCAGCCTTCCGGCCCCGCGCAGAAAATAGCCTGGGCCAGCCCCAGCAAGCGCCCGTCGCCAACGACGCCCAGGTTAGCCCGCGGAATCCCTTTTATGCCCTGAGATTTCAGAACTCATGTTGGCGGAGGTCAATATATGGTCTCCGTTATTGCTTACACGGGCTTGAAGTCTAGGGAAAACGCATCCGTCCGATGCGCATCTGCCTCTAAGAGAACGTGCAGGGCGTGCCAGCTGAGAGCTCGCTCTCCTCTTCCAGATGCCCTCATGACCCGCTTCGTGGCCTCACAAGAAGGCCTCCCCACATCCCGTACGCATTTCCGCATTTTCCGCATTTTCCGCCGCGCGGTGTGTGGTGAGGTGGGCCGCGCTCCGTTCGGCCACGAGTGGCGATGTCTGCCAGCCTTGCCCGTACCCGGCTGCTGAACCGTACCCGGCAGCGGCCGGACCGTCCCGGCGGCTGAACCGTACCCGGCAGCGGCCGGACCGTACCCGGCGGTGGCTAGACCGTACCCGGTGGCGGGACCGTACCCAGTGGCGGCCGGACCATACCCGGCAGCTGTACCATGCCCGGCGGCTGGACCGCATTCGGCAGCTGGAACGTACTCTGCGGCGGCCGGACCGTACCCGGTGGCGCCCGGACTATACCCAGCGGCCGGACCGTACCCGGCGGCGGCCGGACCGTACCCGGCGGCCGCCGGACCGTACCCGGCGGCAGGCCAGAGCGTATCCAGGCCGCGGCCGGGCCGCCTCCGTCCCACGGACGCTGGTGGTCGGTCGCGCCCGCCGCCGAGCCAGCTCCCACGGCCGGCGAGCGTCGCCGCCGACTGGCGCCAGGTCAGCCGGAACCAGGCCGGCCCCGGCCGCGGCCGAGCGGCACCGGGCGGCTGGCGCGGCCTCCTCCGACACGGGGACGGGTGGGGGAGGGGGAGGGCAGGTCAGCAGGAGTGGCGCGGCCTCCTCCGACACGGGGACGGGTGGGGGAGGGGGAGGGCAGGTCAGCAGGAGTGGCGCGGCGGGGTTGGACGGGGGCCTGGAGAGTGTCGAAAGTTGGTTTACCAAGTCGCCAGAACAGACATATTTCAATTGTAAATTAAGAAGATCGTGATCATTTTGATGAAAGTTGATATGATAGCTACCCCCGTTGGCATGCGGTATTGTCCACCATGTGACTGGAGATGGCGGTTTTGCTCCGCGTGCTGCGGGGTCTGGTTGGGTTGAATGTGTGTCGTAACACGGCCTGGCGCCAACGCCTGCGGACGAAGCGTGGAGATCACGTACGTTGCGTGACACATCTTGGCCCATCCGTGGCGGTCATGAATGGCGCGCTTCGATAACCCACTGTGTGTCTTATGCCGAACTTGCAAGCAGGATATTGTTGGCTCAGCAACCTGCCGATTTATTTCTTGCATGTGAAGCGAACGGATTTGCTAGAATGTGGTGGTGTGTCATCTATTCAGACCGTAGTCCAAAACGGAGCACTTCTGCTGGACCCATAGCCACGTTGCTACCGGACCGTGAATATTCGCATGGTGCGTACCGGGTGCTCACTCTGCTCCATCACCAAACGGTCCACCGATGCGTGGGACTGGAGTCACATGGCTCGCCGCCGTCCCCCAGGTGGTGCTGATCAACGGCGTGGACGTGTCGAACTTCACGCACGAGGAGGTGGTGCACTTCATCAAGTCGTGCCGCGAGACCCGCCGGGACCTGGTGCTGACGGTCAAGCCGAGCGGTGAGTCATCCCGCCGGAAGCCCTCGGCCGCCGCCGGCCCGAGCCCGCAGGCCGGCCCGCGCGCCGGCCGGGTCACGCGAGCGCAGGGGCCGGGCCACGCGTGCGGCGCGGGGCCGCGCTCTCCCGGGGTCAGTGACGTGGCGTGTCGGCGGTGTGCGTGTGCCGGTTATGTGCTGAGGACTTAAGGTCGTTCCTTTTGGCCGACCTTTGGTGGGTTTAGCCAGCCGGAGAAAAGGATGTGACGTCGTGGTCGGCTTTGGGCTAACGCGACGCGTCGGCCCCTGTTTGCCGTGATTGAGACTTTGGCGCCCTGCCACTGCGCCGGGGAAACCTTCGACGTCACATGCAGCTGCATCGAGGCGGATGCTCTCGATTGGCGAGGTGTGGGCCATTGCACCCTTTGTGCCGGTAACCTGAATGACATACACGGCGGAAAACACGACGCGAGTGACCCGCGCCAGATCCTGTGTCGTGGCGCGGACGGCGCTACAATTCCGCATTCACCGCCGCCCCGAGAGCGCCTCCTGCGACGCCGAGGGACTCCCCCTCCCCGACCTATAGCTCACGTCCGAGCTTGTGGCGGCGGCTGCGCGAGTTTGCGCGACCGATCGCGCGAGGCTATGCCTGTCCCCTGTCGCCCCTCGTGTCCCCATCGCGTGCCGGGGCGACCGGACGCGGTTCTTCTGACTCGCCTGCCCGACGGTGTGTCCGCCCGTCTGGCGGTGTGTTCGCCTGTCCCGCGGTGCGCCTGCCTGTCCAGCGGTGTGCTCGTCTGTCCGGCGGTGTGTCCGCCTGTCCGACGCTGTGTCCGCCTGTCCGGCGCTGTATCCGCCTGTCCGGCGGTGCGCGTCCGCCGGCCGCCCGCACGCGCCGCTGACGCTCCGCCTCTGTCCGCCGCAGCGAACTACGAGGGCGGCGACGAGTTGGGGGAGCCTCTGGTGCGATTTGTGCCGGACACGCCGCACGTTTCGCTCAGCGCGCCGCCAGATGGCAGCCCGCTAGCCCACTCCATGGCTAGCCTGGCCGACGGTGAGCTCAGGGGACCGCGCTCACCCCGTGCTGGACTCTCCCAGCCTAACTCACCGCTGCTTACCGCCGCTTACACCGCTCATCGCTGTTGACCCTTGCTTTCCCCAGCACACCGACGTTAAACACTCTTCGGACCTGTTTACACTTGGTCTGCTCTGTCCACCCCTGCTTCTCCTTCTCACATTGCTCGTTCCTGCTCACTACTATGGCTCATTGTTCATCGCGGGATGTGAAGATGAGGTTGGAGATGGAATGATGAAGATCCCATAACTGGTGTCTTCAAATGGTGTGTACATGTCCGACAGCTCGTATGTCACATCAAGCCTTAGATGGCAGCTTGCTGATGTGTTCATGGTTTATCCTCGTCTTGCTTTCGTGCTCTACTTCCGATGCCTCGTCATAAGGGCTGTTACAGTATCAAATTTGGTTGCGCAGTGTTTCTTTTTTGGGGGATGTCGTCCATCATGGGAACTGATGACCATTACTGAAACTGGAACAAGTTATGCCAAAACCTGCACGTATGAACGCCTTTCGCATCACAGCCTGAAACGACATAAGGCCGTTCACGTGTTGGCTCTAGCCATGTAGCATGCGACGAGTATGCGGTATAGTATACGTGAGAGCGCAGCACTGAACAATTTATTACGATGGTGAAGTTGTCTGTAGAGATATATATAAAACCTTCCAATCAAAGCACACGACCGGCCTTAAGAAAGACGTGTTTGTAGTCACCGGACATCGTAGCCCCAGCATGTCCAATTGATGGTGTTATTTATGCGCGGTGTGCGCGTCCTTTCGTTGGAAACCTAATATTGCCAACGGGGACTAACCCGAGTCGGCAGCGCGCTATTTATGTCTCGGCTTCTGTCGCACATCCGGCGCGTCCCTGTTTATTGCACCTGAACAGTGGCTGCAGGAGAGTGGACGGTTCTCAATGGGAGAGTCGTCTCGTGCATTTGTCGATATCACCGCTACGTAGAAGGGGAGGGGACGCGGCGGAGAGACACGATGAGGGATGACAGCGAGGCACTCGGCGTTAAAAAAGCTCGTTATAAGCATGTGCCGATGAGTGATGTCGCGAATGATGGGTGTTCCCGGTGAGTATGCGCAGCAGTCGTGTGACGTACACGGTGCGACCTGGTTATCCCGCCCGGGCGGTTGGTCGTAATAGGGCATGGGGGAACAGTGCTACCAGCTACGGAGCGTTAATGGAAAAGTGTTCATGCTCTGGGAGCAGGAATGCTGCTTCCGCGACAGCGCTCGTAGTTGCTGCCAGGTCTGTCGTTGTGCCGCTGTTTAAGTTGACCTGACCTGACTTGATCTGACCCGACCCTGCCTCCTGCGCAGCTCTGAGCAGCGGCGCGGCGCGGCTCGAGTTCGAAAAGCTGGCCCGTCGCGATGCCACCCTCACCATGGACGACTGCCGGCTGCCCCTCAACGTGGGCAAGAACCGCTACAGAGACATATCGCCCTGTAAGTGGCCGCCGCCGTCTGTTTCGTCGCTGCGGGGGACCGCCGTATCGACCTCGCCCGTGGCATGCGCGGAATGGATTGCCTTGTCGATCAACAAAATACACCGAGCTTTGTCTAGAAAGGCTGACCTCCAGCGTACCTCAAATGGATTCACGCTGCTTTCGTATGTGAATGATCGGTGGAGGACTGGCCCTGTGTGCGCTAGCCGGGTGATATCCCGATGTTTGAGTCCCACGGCGCTGCCACGCCGGGCGCCCCGGGCAGGTTGATGTGACCATCTTACCCCCCGCCCCCCTCCTCCCTCCCCCCGGCGCGGATAATCTTTCGTCCAGGCCACTTCCGGCGCCTTAATTGAGAGGACAATCCGGCACCCACGCGCCACGCGGGTTGGCGTGGCCTGGCGCGCCAAATCGACGGAAGCTCCCGCCGCTTTACCTGCGCCGGACGTGTATTCTGAGCCGCGAGCGCTCCGCCTCCGCGTTGTGCGCAGCGGGCTGCGGGGCGGGTCCGGCCGGCTGTCGCGCTGTCAATCGCGACGCGTCGCGCGGCGGGCAATGGTGCAGCCGACGCCCCTCCCCCGCTTCCGGCGAAGCGGCGCCGGCGCGCACTCTCGGAAGATTGCCACCGCCGGGGCTATTTCCAGTCGAGGAGATTGCAAACGCGTAGAAGGACCGCGCCCCCGAGAGAGGTGGGGCTCGCGTTAATTGCGCGAGACGGAGGCGGCGCGCTCGGACCGGCGCGCCGGTGCGGTCCGCTGGTGTACCTCCGGAGCCGCCGCAGTGGCTTCCGGCGGCACCCCAGCCTGTTGCCGGCCGAGAGAGGCACTGTTTATTCCCCGCGTGGTTTCGCAACGGGCCCCGCCAAGCGGAAGCGGCTGGCGTCTGTATTCGCTGCGTCGGCTGCTTGGTGATCGCCGTCCTCGTCTGGGGAAGAGGGGGGGGAGGTGCGGGACGTAGTAGTGCATCTGGTCCGGCCGAGTATCCCAACCCAGGAGTGTCGTCAAGCTTGACAGAATGGACTCATTCATAAATCATCGTCCGGCATGTCATGAACGGTGTTCATTCATAATTCATGGCATGGCAAACGCCGCTCGCTCCACTGCCGGACATGCGACGTCAGCAGGCCAACAGCGTCGCACTTCCCACCGGGGCCCGTCCAGTTCCAGCGCCGCCATGCCGGCCCCCGCTCGGCACGCCTCCGCCAGGCAGCGCCCCAGGCGCCGTGCGCCGTAGACGTGACGCTGACGGGGTGACGCGTCTTGCAGATGACCGCAGCCGCGTGGTCCTGTTCACGGCCGAGTCCGGCGACTACATCAACGCCAACTACGTCAACATGGTGATCCCCGGCTCTGGGATCGTGAACCGCTACATCGCCGCGCAAGGTGAGCCCCCCGCGCCGTCCCGTCCTCGGGCGTCGTCCTCGAGTGGGCGGCGCACCCCGTGACCTCGGGTGTCCGGGGCTTCGCTGGAACGCGGGCGTTGTCGTGTTTGAACGGAGGGGTCGAAGTGCGCAGTATAGGTGCGTTTGCAGGTGAATGGCAGAGTCGGAATCTGCGCAATGAATGGGTGATGGGAGTGGGGGGGTGCAAGTACGCGCAAGCCACAGAGTGCAAAAGCTTCGCAGGCTGTGGTGGCCTCAAATATTGTGCGTGTGTGCGGGGGGAGAGGGAGATGGGGTTGGTGGTAAGAGATCGATATGTTGCACATCGCGACATAAACATATCCACATTTGCGATATGTTTGCATATCCACAGCGCTCCCAATTTGAGGGATCGGCACGAGTTGCCCGGAAACTTACGCGCCATCTAATTTGCGAGCGCTTGGTTTCCTCTGATCTCAAGGGGCCAACAGCATGCATTTTCCTTATCGAAGGAACGCCGTAGCGGATAAGACCTATCGGGGAAGCGTTTTCGATCCCAACGACGGCTCGATTCGGGTGACACCACACCAGCAACTGCAACACAACAGCAACACACAGCAACAACAACAACAGCAACACAGCACAGCTCCTGCCGGTGCGGCGCGAGGCTTTGGCGACTTCAACGCACCGACGAGCGCTGATGCTGCGCGGCGCTCTGTTGTTCGGTGGCCCGGGCTAGGCGGCCCTCTGGCGGCCGCCGCTGCCGGCCACCGCTCCGCCGGTGGCGCCGCCTGGTGACCGTCCGCATCGGCTGGCGCGCCGGCGGAGTCCTGCGCATGAACGCGGCGCTCGGGGCCGAGCACGGACGACTGACTGACCGACGAACGCGCCCTGCGCCGCCAGGTCCGCTGAAGCACACGGTGGATGACTTCTGGACGCTGGTCTGGGAGCAGCACAGCCCGCTGGTGGTGATGCTCACCACGCTGGTGGAGCAGGGGCGCGTCAAGTGTCACCAGTACTGGCCGCCGGCCGGCGAGAGCCGCCTCCACGAGGGCCTCGAGGTCACGTGCACCAGCGAACAGATCACCGACAGCTTCGCCTTCCGCGAGATCACGCTCGTGTCGAGAGAGGTGAGCGCCCGGCGGCCGCATCGTCTGCGGGGGTAGGGGGGGGGGGGAAGGATCTCCAGCACGGTTTGTGCTTCCGCTTATGTGTGAGGGTGACATAGTGGGGATGATGGATATCCATGTCTTTGTGAGGTCTGATATAGTTGTTCATATGGACAAAGGACCTGTATGACAGTCGCTTGACTGTATTTGAATTGTGTTAATGGATGCCGAAACGGTAGGGACTTTCGTTATTGATCGGGTGCCTGGCCGTTGTAGCTCCTAGAAAAGCATTTGTAATATCTTTGTTGTTCCGTTGGTGAATCATGGGTGCCAGTAATCTGCCCTTAATATCTAACTGGCGTCGCAATGACGCATGCGCCAATAAACCTGTCTGCCCGACGACACGTCCTCGATCGACCTCCCCCCCCCCCCCCCCGCCCCTACCACACCCGCACCCTGCCCCTCAACACCCGCTGACCCGCCGCCACGGCCGGCCGGCAGACGGGCGAGGAGAGGCACGTCTCGCACATGCAGTACGTGTCTTGGCCGGACCACGGCGTGCCCGACCAGCCGGCCGACTTCGTGCGCTTCGTGCGGCGCGTGCGGACGGCGCGCGCTGGCCTCGTGGAGCCGACGGTGGTGCACTGCTCGGCCGGCATCGGGCGCACGGGCGTGCTCATCCTCATGGAGACGGCCATGTGCCTGATCGAGGCCAACCAGCCCGTCTACCCGCTGGAGCTGGTGCGGAGCATGCGCAGTCAGCGCGCCATGATGATCCAGACCACTGTGAGTACCGGTGGCGGCGTGCGGAGTGCGCTTGGGCCACTGTGAGTGGAGATGGAGATGTGATGTGAGATGTGTGATGTGGGAGTTGTGCTGGGTCATGAGAAGTGGAGGTGGCGGCGTGTGGGTGGTTCACTGCGAGTTCTGGGGGAGGCATGCGGACCGTTTGCAGCGCATTGTGAGTAAGAAGGCGGGTGCAGCAGCGTGTTCTAGACTGGCTTGAATACCATTTGGAGTAAGCGTGTGACTTTCAAATCACTGATCGTTGTAATCGGAGTGAAGGCCATGTAACAATGGCAGAGTTTATCACTTTTCACTCGCTGCAAGGTACGGCATTTTGGTTTATCGCAAGTCACTGTTAGCTGCAATGCCTTTGAGAACGTTGGATGCGTTGCATGTGCGTCAGGCACGTTATACCACTGTTGCCCGTTTTGCGGTATCAGCTCCACTGAGTTCCAATCGTTGCTGCAGGATGCCGCGTTGACCCCGCCGTTGCCTTGTTTCAGAGTCAGTTCCAGTTCGTGTGCCAGGCGCTGCTGCAGGTGTACGAGGAAGGTGCAGTGCGTCCCCTGGCCGAGTACAGCCAGAGCTGAGCCGGCCTCGCTCGCGTGCACACGCTAGTCATCGCTGCAAGTACAAGCCCGCATCCGGAGCGGCCGACTCACCCGCGACGGTGCTGCCACCTGTGGCGGGCGGAAGATGGCGCCGCCGAGCCCGGGCGGCGCGGCGCCGGAGTCGACCGCCGTCAGCTGGCGAGCAGAAGACATTGCACTGAGCGTCGCGGGCCGCCGACGCGTTTGTGGCGCAGCTGTGGTGTATGTTGTTCCGTTGATGTGCCGAACTGGTATTTGTGCGGGAGCTATGCGGCATCGAGGCAAGCGTGCGTGACGCGCCGCCGTCCCCGCGAGAAGCTCGCGGTCCCCCGGAGAGGCCCGAGGTCCCCTGGAGAGGCCCAAGGCCCCAGAGAAACCCCGCCGGTGTGACGGCCCGCTGCGTGCTGCCGCGCCAGACCTGCGGCCTCTGTCTGCGGCTACGGCAGTCTGATCTCGGACGCAGTACGCACAGGCACTGGGACCGCCGCGAAACAACGGCACGTGCGTCTTCAGGGAGCGGTGCCCCTGAACGAGATCATCCTGCCTCTGCCGACCCGGAAATCAAAGGACGGGACATATTGCTGTTGGTCTGCATTAAAAGTCTGACTGTCGTGCTCATTCCGGACATTATGCTGCAGTGCAAATGGCGCCGCGCTCGTTGATGATCGCGCGTTGCTGGTGCGATCTTCCGTGATGTATTTAAATCGCCTTTGGACGGTTGTATGGAGCATGTGACATGTGCCACGGGATCAGGTACTTGCCCCGGGGCAGGTGTTGTTTCGTAAGCGAAAATGGACCTCGTGCCGCGCCTTGACAAGTGTATGAGGTGCGTGGATATTTTTGGACGCCGTGGAGCCCCGCGGTCGGCTGGAGGGTGAGCCAGTGTATTTATTTGAAGTGTTGACATGGTGAGCTCATATCGCGGCCGAGGTGATTGATGTTGAGTTTGTTTCTCACAATACAGCATACTGATGCGCTGTTCGCTTTTGAAGACTCGGCGTTAAGAATGCAGCATGTGTGGAACGCTGTCGTGCCCGAGACGCCCTGTGATACACGGACTCGGTGGAACGTGGCCTTTATGGAAGCGTTGGGTGAAACCTGTTACAACTGAAGTATTCGTGCTGTGCTTTCTCGCCATTATAGTTAATGTTGCCTCAGGATAATGGCATAAGTGATAAGAGTAAGAAAGGCCCCCAGGCGTTGGGCGTTATGAACTTTTATGATGGAGAGGTAGCCGACTTTCAACACGCCGGGTTATTGGCTAAATGACGGTATCAAACAAACATAAGTAAGAAGCGAGAGAGAGAGAGAGAGAGAGAGAGAGAGAGAGAGAGAGAGAGAGAGAGAGAGAGAGAGAGAGAGAGAGAGAGAGAGAGAGAGAGAGAGAGAGAGAGAGAGAGAGAGAGAGAGAGAGAGAGAGAGAGAGAGAGAGAGAGGAAATGTGCGAAACTGAATAGCGGATCTTTTAGTATAAATAAATTGGGTGTACCTAGTAAGGTCCCTGACCTATGGTAGGTTAAGATGCGGACGTGGCTGCCAGCGAAGGCAGTTTCCAGGGAATCGTTCAATCTGATGCGACAAAGGAATGTTGAATTAGGCCATACACCTTCGAAATAGTTTCCTAGGCAAAACGCAATTATATGTGGGATTGCAACAAATTCCATCGACCTGTGGTTAGGTATGAAGGTCAGACCGAGGTCAAATCAACCCGTTTTTTTACTGAAGAACTGGTTTATGGGACTTCTGATGCCCATTTCGAATTTATTGCTGACAGTGGGCGGCAAACAGTTCTTCTTTCACGAACTTTTTGAAGGTAAGGGCAGGTTGCTGACCTAAAATGACCGAGATAAACCCTTCATTATATGAACAAAAGGTTGAGATCCTTAACGCCGATTCATATGAAAAGATCAAAACGATCTCTCAGGTGTTAAACCACTATGACCTGCCAAAGAAGATCACTGACTTACAGTGGACACCAGTGACCGTCTACTTTGAACAGGTGTCTAGGTCTAAAGTGGTTAGATGATGGGGTCTAGGGCTACTTGAGTTTACCAATCTACTTTATCTATCGATTACTACCAATCTTGAGTTTAATCTTGTACGACCTTATCTGACCAGACGCTCAGGACCTATGAACTTCAAATTTGTTCACAAGCGAGTTCACATGCAGGCCAACCCACCTTGCGGACTTGGTGTCTCTAACTCCCTTAGCATTTGAGATTTAAGTGGTCAAGTTGACTTCTCCCCCCCCCCCCCTAGCAACGGTATTCCACCGACCACCCGGGGGTAGACAATATATAATGCTACAAAAGTAACGTTCGTTTAACCCCTTATTGAGCCAAAAATGCGGAACAACGGGTGTGTTCCATGGCTCGAAGAAGCTAACGGCACCAGGCTTTAAGGTCCTGACTTGTTTTAAAACGGATTGGGCGAAGAAAGTTATGGCATCCAGCTTAAAGCTTACATTAATTTTAAAGCATGTTAACATGATTTGTATCCAAGCCCATGCGTAATGCTACGCTACCCAAAAATCCCTCCCTCCCTCCTTTGTCACGCTTCTGTTACGCTCCATGTCCCTCTCCCTCTCCGTTACGCTCCATGTCTCTCTCCCTCTCCGTTATGCTCCATGTCCCTCTCCCTCTCCGTTACGCTCCATCGAAATGGCTTACCCTCATCCTCCCTTGCGTAACGGAAGTAATGTATGGGGAATCCCTAGGCAAAGACCGAAGTAATTGATTATGTAAGCACCTATCACTAGCTATTCTGACATTCGAGACACGGTGCTTTTCTAAGGACTGTGCAGGACACAGGCGGCTAAACTGGAAAGTGTTGATAACACCAATCCCGTGTGAGGTGAGAAATACACCCAACATTGACATCAGCGCAGCGACTCCCGCTCCTATGTTTTAACACCCAATACCCGCCAAATTTCAATGCACGACATCCGGCGCAGTATAATGCCCGAAAGCCAGCATATACACATGTGACACCCGGCGCCGTGGGCTGTGGAAGCTGGGGTGACGTCACTCAGTGTCTTGGGCAGTCCTCTCTTAACCTTTTGAGAGGTTAGGACCATGGAAGCCTGTCGGGTAAGCGGCACCGTGTACCGTTCAGCCTATAGTACAGCAGCGTGCATCGCAATTGTGTTGAGATGTGTGTTCTTGAGTGAGCAGTTACCCTGGTGTCTTGTTTTTGTCAAGGTCTGAACACATTTGGGCTATTTCTGTCTTCGGTGTTTTTGTTTAGTCTGGTTCATTCGTCAAGCACCACTTTTTCGCGTTGTTCGCAGTGACCTTAGCTAACGCGACGGCGCGCTTCTCGTCCAGCGACGCGCATGTTTTGATGGAATATTGAGTTGTGCATCATAATTAATTTTGTTTGTGGTTCACCTTTTCTGCGCGATTTCTGCTTGAGTCGGTTCAATGGCCAAATTAGTAGTGAGACGGGATGAAATCACATGTCCACCACGTGACCAACGCTTTACGCGTCGAAGACAGCAAAACTCAAAATTTTGAGATATGACAGCGGTGGGGAGAGCAAATTAAAAGCTACGCTAGCATAAAGCTGCCCGCTGCTGATTTTGCAACAATGTAGGATATGATGTTGCAATTTTTATTCAAACTTTCCTTCTACAAAATTTGCTCTGTTCCCACTGCACGGTGTGGCATTTGATATTTCTTTGTTTTAGGACGTTTACTTGGGAAAATAAAGCCATATGAATGGAAAATTCTTCGATGTTCATAATTGTTGCGTTTTGTTTCTCCTGCTGGTTTTAGAAGTGGTCAAGTACAACTATTGAAATGGTTGCCTTACACCTCAAAATAAACGCATCAAAGCTCGAGACCCATATGACAAGCATAAATGTGGGTTCCTCAGCGCCAAGTGAAGTCGCGCTGTGCGCGCCAGGCCTTGCAGTCTCTCACGATTTTACGAGACCTCTGTCTTTACCTGTTATTAGGCAAGTCCTGCCTCGTGTGTGTGTGGGGGGGGGGGGGTTGATAGTAACGGCGCTGCATCAGCAGTAGCAGATGCAGGAAACTTTCAGGGAGAGGCCGTCCATTCATGAAGGATCTATTCTGATAAAGGACCCTATTGAGGTCGCCGGTCTTTGTAGCCCTACCTTAAAAAAGCTTAAGATTTATAGCTCAATTAGCTCAATAGCTCTTAGCTCTTATTAGCTATTATATTAGCTATTAGCTCAATATTTCGGAGACGTTATTTCTAGGTCCCCCGCTTCGATATCATATCGAAATGGAGGACAAACGCTTGCTGTTTTACAGATGATGATTGTTTTGCAAACGATAATTGTTTGTAAAACAGCAAGGTTTTGAGAAAGAGGCTAATCCTCCTAGTGTTCCATCTCTTTCCGTATTCAGTTTAAACTGGTTTAAACCAAGGTGCAACTTAAGATTCGAGTTACATTTTAAGGTTAATTCAAGAAACCTACACAATGTCATCAATGCTGGTATATCTACGAGCCAGCGTTGAGCGAAGCAGTGCCTAGAGAACAAGCAAACACAAAACTCTGGTGTTACGGCGCTGTTGTCGGTAACTCCAGCATGGTTTGTCGGGATGCTAATGTTAGATCATAGCGGTTGGCTCGGCGCAGACATCAATGAAACAGAAGCAATTATGAGCTCGTCAGCCACTTTCCGCTGGTTAGCACCATTGTCCATGTCGATCCTTGCGCTGCATCGCAGGGTGAGAAGCAGCGCTGGCATACACGTATACACGTAACAGGAGACGTAACAGAAGACGTAACAGGAGTTGCAAGTGGTGACCTGAACAGCTGGCAACTTTCATACAAGTTCAGGGCATGATGCGAAAGAAAAGCGCGTTGTGATCTATATACGCGCGATGAAACAAAATGCAACACAGGCACATACATGCTTCTCCGTGTCGTTCAATGCCAAGTGCCCCGGAGTTTTAACACGCGCCCGGGTGGCCGGCTAGATACCCTTCGCTCGGGTGGGGAGGGGGTCAATTAGACCCCCTCCCCACTCTGAGATCTCGGGAACTAAGAAAACTAGAGACACCAAATTTACAGGGTGTCTTGACATGTACGCGAACTCATTTAGGTCAACGTTTGAGCTTCCTAGGCCATGACATTCAGGTCAAACAAGGTCAAACAAAGTCAAATTCCAGGATGGTCTCCAAAGTACCCCCAGAACCTAGGCAACTGTTTTTAAGCAAAAGGTCACATGCCCATATGAGATAAGTGGCTTTGTTTGACCTTTTGAAGGTCATGGTGACCAAAATCATACAAGATTGCTCTGAGTTTTGCATTTGAATAAGCGACAAAGATTACGCTAGGCAGTATGTTCCTAAAACAAGATGTCGACCCGGATCATCTTAGGTCAATGACCTGTTCTGACCTCTAAAAAGTAAATGAAAGATGTATAATGCGGTTTCTGCAGTCAATAAATTTGAAATGAGCACCATAAGCTATCCCTTACAGCAGGCCCTAGAGTAATAAATCAGGTTGGTTTTGACCTTGGTCTGACCTTCATACCTGACCTTGGGTCAACGTAATTCAATTCGCTTATTCAATATTTGTGGTGCCTAGGAAAGCTTCTCAGAGATGTATGGTTTCGTCAAACACTCCGTTGTTGTATCAGATTGAACGATTCCCTAGAAATCGCCTTTGCTGAAACCATGACCTGACTTGGACCTGCCATTGGTCAGCGACCTTGCAAGGTGCATCTAAATTTTTGATGGCAGACGATCCGCTACTTAATTGTCTATAGCTATGCAAAGTTTGGCGCGGCTACGCCGCGCCGTTGGGAAACAATTCTGGAAAACGTTCTCCGAGGGGTCAGCTTGACCCCCCCCCCCCACGTGAGCGCGTGTTAATTGATTTGCCCAAAACCCCAACACGGGGTTAAAGGCCAAAGGGTGCCAATTTGTTGGGCTAACAAGATTCAGCGTCGAAAAACAAAGGTGGTTCAGACTTAACTCCGAAACCCACCACACGTTT